AGAGAGAGAGAGAGAGAGAGAGAGGAAGGGGAGGAGAAGAAAGGAGAAAAGGGCAGTTAGAAGAGGAAGACTAATGGGGAAGGGAGGTATGGGAAGAAACAGGTGGAAATATAGAAAGGAAAGGAAGGGGGCGAGATGGTAGGAGAGGAGAAAAAGAGAAGGGTGAAGGCAGACAGGACTGAGGGTATGGGAAAAAAGGAGAGAAAGACAGGTACGGGGAGAGGACGGAAATATAAGGGCGGAAAAACAGGTGTAAGGATGAAGAATATGAAGGAGGGAGGGAAGGTGAGGCAAGGCAAGAGGGAGGGAGGGGGAGAGAGAGAAGGCAGGAAGGGAGGGAGGAAGGGGGAGGGAGAGAGAAAGTATGGAGAGAAAGAGAAGGCAGGGAGGGAGGGAGAGAGAGAGAGAAGGCAGGGAGGGAGGGAGGGAGAGAGAAGGCAGGGAGGGGAAGGGAGAGAGGGGGGGGCAAGGCGTCAGGTATCTCCTTACACTCTCACGCCCCAAAGGACTCCTAACTCCTGTATGCGCGCCATCCCGTGGACATCCTAACTAAATGTGCATACAATGATTCCCGTTTTGTCCACCCAAATACTCCATTAATTCAAAACTCAAAACACTTCGCTAAAAAAGGCGGACTACATTCATCCCACACAAAGTGAATACATTAGCATGCGTTTTAACCTTGTCTTGTAAGGGTAATTTGCATTAGTCTTTCGGTGTTCAAATATACTTCCTTCTCAAATCTTACCTTTTTAATTGTGGCTTCGGGAAATGAGTCACCCATTCCCATAAATTACGAATTTACCTTCAAACTAAACAAAATGAAACCCAGATTTTGTTACGAGCTTCTTGGGGGGAAAAATACACATACGAATACACCCTGTGAACACCCATACACACAAGAACAGATGAACTGAGAACATATCAATATATTTTCCGTTGGTTTGTTAATGTGGATCCCTTGTGGTTGTTAGTCTGTATTTAGTTTTTTGTTCTCGCAATGGTGTTATTAAGAGCAGCGTCAGACCTAAAAATAAACATTATGTATCTCTGTCTTCACGCACATGTGGACGTGTAGAAGGAGGATTCGATGTGTAGGTATGGTGTACATGTATAGGTTTGCGTGTGTCCGTAAACACACACACACACACACACACACACACACACACACACACACACACACACACACACACACACACACACACACACACACACACACACACACACACACACATTTCCAGAAGGTCATCTCCATCTTCCTTTCCCCTCCATCACAGCGGGATCTAAACCCTTGTCTATCCCAGCGCTCGATCCCTTAATGGTGGTGCTGAAGTGCACGCCCAGGAACGTATGAAAGAAAATGAGTGCTTGTTTTTGTCCTTATGAGGGAGGGAGGGAGGGAGGGAGGGAGGGAGGGAGGGAGGGGAGACGTGGAGGAAAGAAGGGAGAGGCGGAGGGAAGATGGGAGGGGAGAGGTGGATTAAGGAAGGGAGGGGAGAGGCGGGGAGAAGAAGGGAGGGGAGAGATGGCGGGAGGAGGGGAGATGTGGAGGGAAGATGGGAGAGGATAGATGGGAGAGGAAGACGAAGGAAAAGGGGGAGGGGGAAGAGAGGGAGAGTGAGAGGGGGAGGGAGAGGGAGAGGATGTGGGAGGTGGGAGAGGGAGAGGGCTATAGACAGGATGAAGATGCTATGGAAGAGTGAGAAAAAAGGAGAGGAAAAAAGACAGAGAGAAAGGGAGAATGAGAGAAGAGAAAGGAGAGGGAGAAGATGAGGAACTAGAATCATAAAATATAGTCTAAATACCCTTGGCTATTTTGACAAGGGTATTTAGAAATACAAAAAAAAAGAAGTAATGTAATACAAAATAGCACATCTTTCCGAAATCCTATTTTCCCCGAGCGAACACCCGAGCGGAAAGGCTACGAGCTGCCTGCCCTTCCTCCAGCCTCGCCCGGCCACAAGAACACGAACGCAAGCGCCCTTCACTCCCAGACACACGGCAGGCACTCGTCGACCACGCGACTGGACGGAAGAACACGACGGAAGAACAGTCATAACGCGAACATTTGGGCCGAAGTACGTACTGTTTTTCACTCAACTTTGTGTAAGATGGTTGAACGTGCTCCGCCCATCCCGCCCACCGCGCCCATCCCGCCCGGACGGCACAACAGCAACACACGTCCATCGCTTTTCTATGATCGTACGACTATTATAGCAAAATACACGGCATGAATACGTTAAAAAAAGAAAAAGAAAGAGAAAAAGAAAAAGAAAAAGAAACAGGCATAAAACACGATGATGCAGCACCAGAGATAAAACGACCGAGATAAAAGACCGTGGGAAAACGCTAGAGCTGAAGCGCCAGGGATAAAACACGAGGATAAAACAACCGGGACAGAGCACCATGGGTAAAACAACAGTGAGAAGCCAGCGAGGATAAAACACGCTAAAGAAATATAAACTGCATTTATTTATGACAATATTTGAAGCGCCGGATA